TTCCGAGACCAAAAAAATTCGACCCAAAAATGGATTTTGGTACCACAGGTAGCTACCTGTTGAAATTTGCCAATTTTGCCTTTTTTGAAAATCCAAATTTTGCAGCTTCACCACGGTCAAACCAGTTGAGATAGGATGATGAAATTTTGACAGGTACTAGTTTGAAATCTTAGCTTTGCAATGCCACAAACCGCGATTCCATATCTGCCTTACTTTGGAAGCACTGAGCGTTTTAGTTTTGTCCATGAAAAACCGGATTTTTTGGCACTTTTCCGCAAAAAAAAAAAGTGCTCAGAATTCACTTTTATGCACATTGGGGGAGAGCTAGAGAAGCACCGAGTCCAAAAAACCGGGTTACATCGATTTCCGAGACCAAAAAAATTCGACCCAAAAATGGATTTTGGTACCACAGGTTGCACCTGTTGAAATTTGCCAATTTTGCCTTTTTTGAAAATCCAAATTTTGCAGCTTCACCACGATCAAACCAGTTGAGATAGGATGATGAAATTTTGACAGGTACTAGTTTGAAATCTTAGCTTTGCAATGCCACAAACCGCGATTCCATATCTGCCTTACTTTGGAAGCACTGAGCGTTTTAGTTTTGTCCATGAAAAACCGGATTTTTTGGCACTTTTCCGCAAAAAAAAAAAAGTGCTCAGAATTCACTTTTATGCACATTGGGGGAGAGCTAGAGAAGCACCGAGTCCAAAAAACCGGGTTACATCGATTTCCGAGACCAAAAAAATTCGACCCAAAAATGGATTTTGGTACCACAGGTAGCTACTTGTTGAAATTTGCCAATTTTGCCTTTTTTGAAAATCCAAATTTTGCAGCTTCACCACGGTCAAACCAGTTGAGATAGGATGATGAAATTTTGACAGGTACTAGTTTGAAATCTTAGCTTTGCAATGCCACAAACCGCGATTCCGTATCTGCCTTACTTTGGAAGCACTGAGCGTTTTAGTTTTGTCCATGAAAAACCGGTTTTTGTGGCACTTTTCCGCAAAAAAAAAAGTGCTCAGAATTCACTTTTATGCACATTGGGGGAGAGCTAGAGAAGTACCGAGTCCAAAAAACCGGGTTACATCGATTTCCGAGACCAAAAAAATTCGACCCAAAAATGGATTTTGGTACCACAGGTAGCTACCTGTTGAAATTTGCCAATTTTGCCTTTTTTGAAAATCCAAATTTTGCAGCTTCACCACGATCAAACCAGTTGAGATAGGATGATGAAATTTTGACAGGTACTAGTTTGAAATCTTAGCTTTGCAATGCCACAAACCGCGATTCCATATCTGCCTTAAAAAAAAAAGTGTTCAGAATTCACTTTTATGCACATTGGGGGAGAGCTAGAGAAGCACCGAGTCTAAAAAACCAGGTTACATCGGTTTCCGAGACCAAAAAAATTCGACCCAAAAATGGATTTGGGTACCACAGGTAGCTACCTGTTGAAATTTGCCAATTTTGCCTTTTTTGAAAATCCAAATTTTGCAGCTTCACCACGGTCAAACCAGTTGAGATAGGATGATGAAATTTTGACAGGTACTAGTTTGAAATCTTAGCTTTGCAATGCCACAAACCGCGATTCCATATCTGCCTTACTTTGGAAGCACTGAGCGTTTTAGTTTTGTCCATGAAAATTAGTACTGATAAATATACTAAAACTATTAATACAGATATACATTTAAACTCCATTTCATTGAATAATATTCAACAACACTATCTTATCTTGATATTATAATATTGTTCTATACGATGTTTTATTGCAAGGGTCTAAAGTACTTCCTCTTTCAAACGACAAAACGGCGTCTGCATGTCAAACGCGAGAATTTGATAAAGAAGATACAGTTGTTACTATAAATAACAGCACAACTGTGTCAAGATAGGCTTCAGTGGCATTTCAATGAGTTATTAGGTGAGGGGTTGTCCGAGTAGGGGCCACAGAAATGACAAGAGGAGATCACCGGCTCTAATTTACCTATTTGAAAAGATGAGGGGTGATAGTTGGTCGATGTAGCTAGCCTCGAAACTACAAAATCTTGACACTGTCACGCCGACATATTGACTTACATGTATATGTGTATACCCCCCCTCACCCCCACAATTTGGAACGCTTTCTCGACCCTTGCCCTTTTTTCGTCCTTGTGAGAAACGTATAAAGGTGCGAATAGACAAGATACGGTGTCCGGTGTGGTGTCCGGTGCGGGATTATCGATACAGTAGAAAATAGAAGAAACGCATCTTGTACGCACCGTGTCCGAACCCATACCTCGTGTGATCACTCTTTTATTTTCGTTTGTATCGATTATTCCGCACCATACACCACACCGGACACCGTACCTCGTCTATTGGCGCCTGAACCCGATTGTCAAATTCTACCAAACCATCAACGAAACTATGACTATAGTGTTACCCTACGAATTGAAGAAATGGGTTATGCAGGCGCATTCACCGCTTTAAAGATCTTGCTAGGCACAATATGTACAGCTGTGTAACAAATTGGTTTGGTTGGTTGGTGTGGTTGGTCGGTCGATAGATACCACTATCATAACAAGTCGTCAAATCCTTAATATATTGAGTATATAGAAGTAATATAATGAACGTCTATTTGTTAACTATTATTGAATGTATAATAGTTGTTTAATTGTCGTGTCTGTCCCTTTATTATATATGAATATTGCTTTGGGTAGTAAATAAAAGAAAGGGATCGCTATTATACGAAATAGTACGGATAATAAAAAGAAAGAAAACGGTCGCCATTGTAAACCAAATATTCTTCGTTATTAATATGCTTCAAGTCAAAGAGTGTAAAAACTGTCTGTAAACTTACAGTGATGTTGATTATATAACAGTCTGTTATTTAGAAGGAAGATATTGTGATGGGTCTTGGTGGTTCAAAGGAAAAACAGGTATAGGCTAAATTACAGAACTTTTTTTTACTTTACTTGGTGGAAATATTTATCTGAAATCACTTCCGGTATAAATAAGACCCCATCAATAGAGGTGGAAGAGTCTTGGATGGTTTACAATAAATCGATATAAAATTGCTTGGAATAGATATTTGGTGCACTTATAGCTGGAGCTTTAGGTGTGCAAATTCTGTTCTGTGTTCAAGGTCTATCTCGTCCAATGTTTTGTCATTTTCACGTTATTTCTCAAAATGGATTTCAAGTTTCTATGGAGCATTCGGTGATGGGGAATGTAGAGGCCACTGAATTTCCCAGGGGGTCACAGGCCATTCTTTCCCTAAATGGTAGGACGAGATTCTTTTCTTGGAAGAGCCGCGGTGGCTCAGTGAGTTAGACGCTCGTCGCTAACCTGAAGGTCTAGGGTTCAATTCCGGCGTAGGTCGAGATAATACCTTCGGATTTTTCAACGGTTTCCCCCTGTCAGTGATGCAGGTAAGAGGGGCTGACATGGAAAAAGTGTCTAGTCGTTCGGATGGGACAATAAACCGAGGCACCGTGTGCTACAGGCTGTGTACGTTAAAGATCCCTCTATAGTTGGAAATCGAAAAACAGCAGGACAATGCCGCTATCATGGCAAAATTTCCCTCATTACACCCTACATGGCGTTCCCTGTCTTCATTAGCCCACTCCCTGTAAAAATGCCACTGAATCCCAATGATTATATATTAGAGTTAATTTTATTTCCAATTGTAGGAATCGAGAGACAAGTTGAAAGATACTCTTAAAGATGATCCTATGGACCTAATCCAGAGGAACTATGTAGTGCTCATTGAACATCTAGATTCAGAACAAGCCGTCGACAGACTCTTCCAGAATTTTACCCTGACGCCTGGTGAAACCGAAGACATGCTGCATGTGGACGGCGCTCAAAGAAAAGCCAAGATGTTGGTGACTAAATTACGAACCAAATCCAGAGCACAGATTCACCAGTTTATTGATATCATTAAAGAAATTCAACCTTATCTTTATAATATTATTTTATCTAATTCACTGCATGCAGTTGGTAAGTAATTAATCTTATGAACTACAAAGTTAAAGCTGTCAGTTCATGAATACCTTTAATGTACAAACCTTTAAGACTGCATCCTCTGTAAACCGCCATTATCCTTAAACCGGCATCCATGAGAAGCATCTACTCCAATCTGTAAAAGAAAAGCCTCCATAAACCGACATCCCAAGTGCTGATGTGATTGGGTACTTTTGACAAGGCCTCCTCCATTTCAACATATTATACTATACCAAAGACACATACTAAGAAGTACCACGGGTGTCTTAGGATTAAAGTCACATATTAAGAACTATTAATTGTATTAAGGAATTTATTCCATATCAGATTTTTAATACCAAATTAGTAAACATTAATTGTATATACTTATGACATTACATATTTTTACAGGGCCTCATTTTGGATGGCTGGATAATAATGATCAAGGTAGGAACATCCTGTCATTTCTTGTACATAATTTACCTTGATTGGGATGACAACAGACAAGAAAGCATACATAGAATTTTTTCAAAGCTTGCCACTAATATATTCCATATTAAACTGAAAAAAGGAGGTCTAAGATGTATTTTTCTGTGCCTTATTGCGCTACGAAAATCTATCCCTGAGCAAGATTAGGAAAAAAGAGAAGACAAGATTTTCTTGGTGTAAATTATTGGTGAAAATGCTTATCTTGACAGACCTTTCAGTTTTAGCAAACCTTCAATCGTTTGATTATCAGAATTCGAATACAACCTCTATATTATACAATAAGCATAATATAAGATTGTATTTTGTTTATTTCGTGACAGGAAAGATGGAGTTTATTGTATATACCTAAAAAAGCAAACTCGCTGAGAAGTTATTTCTCCGTTAAGGGGGCTGAGGTGCCATTTTGGGTGTTGATTAGGATCTTAAATATATGTAAATAATCTTCAGAAGTACTAGAAATTTACAAAAATTGCATAATTCCTTCAAACAAACAACACCTCAAACTAGGAATTTTGCTCACTATTACCATGGATGTCTTTTCTATATACCACAGTATCTTAAAATTACGAGTCGTCATCTTAACATTCAAATGGGAATAATTCTGGTCACGCATGGATTTGAAGGCTCAACTTTGGACGGTGAGCTGTGAACACTATGACCGATTGGCTTAACTAAAAAAAATCCCGTTTCTGAGACTAACTTATGACTGGTAAAAGAAAAAATGGCGCTCTGTCCCTTTAAGTTATTCTAGTCTATATTTCTATATTCCAGATTGTGAACCTTGTCTAGAACAATCCAAGAAAACACTGGCCACAGATTGGTGTTATCAATGTTGTGAAGCAATGTGCCTGGCCTGTGCAATTGTTCATAAAAGTATGAAGCTTTTGAGACACCACTCTCTGAAAAAACTTTCGGACCTTAAAGTTCCAGCGAAAGAAGGGGTGCCAACCAATCCAAATGCCTTAGATAATGGACGACAGTCGAGTAATGATCTTTTACAGTTAATTTCGGGACAAAATATTCCCTTGTCCATCAACGGGGATAAGGAGAGCACTGCTGGAGCTACAGATGTAGCACACTTGACCATAAACGGCATGTCTGTTATGTTGGTAACCGATTGGCATAACGAAGCAGTCAAATCGTTCACAGAAATGGGTTCCAAAACCAGATGTAAGCGTCTTAAGATGCCTGGCTGTCCGTTTCGTATAGCTAAAGTATCATCATATCAAGTAGCTGTTACAATGTCCACGAGTTGTTTGATTTTTATCATAAAAGTTGGCATCGGCGTCCTGGAGATCGAAACCAAAATAAAGGCCCCTCATCTTTATGACGGAATTTGTTATTTGGGATCCGGAAAGTTTGCAGTTAGTGGTTCATCTTTGGATATCATTGATACTTCAGGAACAGTTTTATCTACCATTGATGGACACCCCGGTGTCGAGCGGCTTTTCAGCAATCCAGATTACCTAACAGCGACACCTGACGGCAATATAGTGGTTTCGGATATCCAAAATTGCAGGGTCGTGTGTATAACCCAAACAGGTCAAATTAAATGGATATATCAGTCAAACACGGATCCCAAACTAGAATGCCCTCATGGAGTTTACGGTGACAAGAATGGGAAAATTCTCGTATGCGATTGGGACTTGCACACCATTACCATGTTGACTTCCGGTGGTAAATTTAAGCAAATATTAGCTGGTGCTAGCAATAGGGTGTATCGTCCAAGAGCTGTATGCATGGACGAAAAATGTGAACGTTTATTTGTGATACAAGACGGGATTTTTGCAAGATCATTTAAAATCACCGTAAAATCATAGTTCTTAAGTTTGGTCATCGGAGTTTATAAGTTGATGGTTAAGGATATAAAATGTAAGAATGGAATTCGACTGCAAATCATCGGAACGCCAAGTGCAAGTTGGAGTAATGTGAACAGATTGGTGGGAATTGTCGAGCTGTGAGTGCTAATAGGTTGTCAAGTAGCCTGTTTGTTTTGCTTTTTTATGTATTCATGCCTTTTTGTGTTCCATTTGTATAAATTTTTCGGCATTGTAATAATAATTTGTTCCATTGTAATTTGTAATATATTCTGCTCCAAGTGAAACATATTTTTCTTTACTAAAACATCTAGTCTAAGGGACCCGCAGTGGCGTAGGCTATATATATTATAATTTTCTTGGGAGGATTAAGGGCTGTATGAGAGGCTTGCGACTATGACGCCTTCGCAGAGTTGCCGCATTTGAATTCAGCCTCGACAGATGAGCCAGTGTGTGCCTTATTTGTACCCCAAGTCTCGAGAGACTGGCGCCGTCATTGTCAAGTCTTGCGATCAAAGCATATGTCAAGGAAAACGTACAACTTCATTCATCTAAGTCCTTCTTGTCTGAATACGAGGGAATACAGCGGCATAAATCTACGTATTTTTGTTTTCTTGTTCTGTTGCCGAAAATCTTTAGCGCTCACAAGTTGCAAGCGGGCTTTTGCCATTCTAGCCCAAAACCTGCATCACTGACAGGAGGAAAACCGGTAGGCCTATATCTATCATAACCTTTGCAATGTTCACTTGTATTATGACATTGTTTAAGTGTAAGCTTTTTCGCAAATAATTTGATTGGGACTAAAAGACAGATTTGCTGATAAATGGTTTTTCTTTCTTGTTATACAACCCTTCAAATGAAAGTTTGATCATAAATCTTAATTCATTTAAAAAAAATAATTAAAGGTTAGGCCTATAGCCTATTTCGTTTTGTGATTTTCTGTGGTTCCACTTGCTATCCATGATCTGTGGGTTATTGATCATTCAACCGATGAAATATTCTGTTTAAAAAAAATCTTTTTTATGGTATTGGGTTGCTTTACATTTGGTCTATTTATCCTACTTTGTGAAATTATCTTGGTCGATTTGGGTCTTGGTCGATATGACTTGATTACACCTAATCGTTCTGCATTTCTTGCCTACCCCTTTGACAAGAAGATGATTATATTGTTATTTGAATAAATTATAAATGTCTAATGATGATGAACAATTTCAAGAATGTAACCCAAAATTATAGCAATAAAATCCAACTTAATCTTTTACGCACAACAAAACCGAGAAACCGGAAGCACGTGTGCTGCACGCCATCTTTCAGACGAATTGTGTAAGAATTTTACAGATTTTTCGTTATTTATTGTGATCTACACACCGCAGTATTGAACTATAGGGTGTTCACATATCTTGAAAGAGGTTTGGTTTCGTTTTTTTAAATTCTGTTTTTGAAAGAAGGAGTAAAATGAAAGTGTTATTTAATAAGGTCTTGTTGCCAATGTTGTTATTTTGATTTTATTGACAAAAGTTTCTGTGAGTGTGAAGGCCATATGGTAACTAATATTTAATTTTTTTTCTCAGAATTGGTCGTCTCCAAGATGTCGAAAAGGAGGAATGCTCAGAGGGAGCCAGAGCAAGATGTATTAACTAGGATTGCTATTGTCAATTCTGATAAATGTAGACCCAAAAGATGTAGACAAGAATGTAAAAAGTCTTGTCCTGTTGTAAGGATGGGTGAGTTTCTCTTTTATTACCGTACTGTTCAAATATACAGATCATATGGAATCTTCTATATCTGAAATATTTTACGTAATGTTTTTTAATTAGGATATATTTGGAGAATCTCATTGATAAGGAAAGGTTCAATATTATTACATTGTAAAGGTAATGGATTAAACCAGTACTCGAATTTTGGGATGCTTCATTTCTTGTGCCTACTGGTATTAGTGCTTGCACAGTATATATCGGTGAAGTATTGTATTGTAATATAGCATTGTGTGTATTGGCTTGCATATAGATATTAAACGATATACAGCATTCCATGATTACGAATGCACTGATCATTTACAAGTTGGTTACCATACATACCAAGTTGAATTAGTTATGACATATTGTTACCGTACCTCTTCGACTCTTGTCAAAGTTTTTGTTTTCTATTCTTTCAGGCAAATTGTGTATTGAAGTAGGTCCTACAGATAAGATTGCTTTTATATCAGAGGAATTATGTATTGGTTGTGGTATATGTGCAAAGGTATGTTGATTATCTCTGGTATTTAGAGGCCTTGCCGAATACAATAATTAAGTAATTTCACTGTTAAAATAGTGCTGAATACATCAATTGTAGAGCAATATATAAGATTTTCATGTAAGGCATTAGTTCTACAATTAACCCTGGCACTCTTGAAGTTTTTTAAGACTCTTCAAATAGTTCTCCCTTACAATATAGCGTGGATCACATTTATGTCAAAAGAAGAGGGCATGGTTGGCAAGTTCTTTGTTAGTCTTCCTGGTCCCAATTCTTACGTAATCTTGACACACTTGATTTATAACCCCATTTTTGGTATCCCCTAACAAGTTGCTCCAGGGTTGATTTAATTAATAACTGTTTATAATATAATTACAATTTATTATCTTAAATGAATGTTAGTGTCAAAAAAAATAAAAAATTGGGCTTCTTTTTTTGGGATGTAAGTTATCACTTTAGGGGGGAGTGAACTTACAATCATTTGAGGGCTGGGCGATATACTGGTATCACCATAAATACCGGTATAGGAATTTATATTGTTAATAATATCGCCTGATAAAAAATAGCGAAATATCGTCTTATTGTGATATATGGTAGTTAACATGATATATCATCAAATTTTCCTCCAGATAAGATCATCTACACAATTTTAACAAGTAACTTAATATTTGAAACAGATGAATTGATTTTTTTTAGAGATATTTATTGTGTTTTGTTACATTTAAAATTTAACATAAATAAAAACAATTTTAAAAAAAAAACAGTACATAACATACTTAATAAATATCGCTATAATATATTTTATATTATATACCCATATCATGATATATTATTGTTTATCATGATATCCACTCGACTCAATATCGCCCAGCCCTGTATCATTTTAATTATAAGTGGTTATAAAACTGTCTTATTATCTAATTTTAAAAGTAAACAATAAGGAAGCAACAAAATAAAGATGTGAGATAAAGTCAACATAAAATTATCAACCGGGAATACAGTATTTTAATTTTGTTTATTTTATTTTGTAGAAATGCCCATTTGATGCTATTAATATTATTAATTTACCAAGTAATTTAGAGAAGGAAACAACTCATCGTTATAGTGCTAATTCATTTAAACTACACAGGTAAATATACTACTTTACTCATAATTGCACGCTAATCGTATGAAGTGTGGAGCATATATTGGTGCACCTATGTGACATCAATCCAACCGTCCATTGGTGAATATGTTTATTATTACTCATGAATGAATCCTATTGAAAATCAAAAAATCAAAATTTTGAATGAGCTATTGACCTCGTTCTTGAAAATACATTCAGCTTGAGAAGTGTATGACTGAAGGTTGAGTATTTCATACTGGTGATTGTAACTGTACTGCTAAGTATATTTGTTTAAAATCAAAGCTGCCAGTTGGCATAATTAACCTTGACTGACAAGCGATCTGGTGACTTAATAATATTATTTATGGTGTCATTTGTTACAGATTACCAGTACCAAGGGCAGGAGAGGTGTTAGGGTTAGTGGGTACCAATGGTATAGGAAAATCTACAGCCTTAAAAATTCTAGCTGGTAAACAGAAACCAAACCTGGGTAGATTTAAGGTGAGATAATATTTGAAACAAATGAGAATTTGGATTCAACTTGTTTGGTCTGTGTGCGCTACATTTGCCAATGTATCAGTGATGCTGTAAGTGCTCAAATATGTAACCAAATATCAAAGTTACAAAGTATTGTAATATTGAAATTTGCTAAATCAGTGGTTCAAAACCTCTTTTAGCCTTCACACCCCTAGAGCAATCACCTGGACCTTTCACACACCCAACAATTTGTTTCATCCACTTTTTTAGCATGTGATGATGTGAGGTGCTCTCTCAATTCAAAATAAATTCTTCTCCTACACCAGTTGGCCACACCCTTGACACCCTAGTCCCACATCCCCAGGGGGGTGAAAAATGGTGTGGACATGATTACCAATTAATGTCTTTATTCAAGAAGTGTCTGCAAGGAATTGTATTAATAAAGGGGACTTTGTAAGTATTTTTCGGAAAGAATATTTCCAAGTCAATACTTTGTGAAGTAGGCTCAGTGTGATTTGTTTTTTTGTCTGTTATAGGAACCACCAGACTGGACAGATATCTTAACATATTTCCGTGGTAGTGAGTTACAGAATTATTTTACTAAAATATTAGAGGATGATCTGAAAGCTTTAATCAAACCTCAATATGTGGACCAGATACCCAGAGCTGTTAAGGTACCATTTAATTTTTGGTATCTACCAAATATTCTTTGTCACTTTTTGGTGCCATATTTTAAGGGACAGGTTCGCCATCCGTTTGACCAATTGTACTTTAGTCTCAGAAACTGGAATTTTCTAGATAACCTAAAAAGTAATAGCATTCATAGTTCACCTTCTAAATCTTACCCTTCCACATGTTTTCAGAATTATCGGCATTTAAAAGTTAAAATGACAACTCATCATTTCTGAAGACTTTGCCAGCCATATATAGAAAAGACATAAATAGAAATTGGAAAAGAAATTCCTAGTTTCAGGTATCTTAAGGAATTCTGTGATATTTGTACATTGCTAGTACTTCTGAAGATTATTAACGTATTCAAGATCCAAAGAAACTCCTGAAAATGGCAGACCTGTCCCTTTAAAGTGACCATACCTGAAAGATGTGATTTGTCTGTACTGTAGTGATTCAAATTAATCAATACTTTTAAAAGATGAGCTTATAAAGACTAATGTGGAAGTGGAGACACAAATATTTTTTTTTAACACCTAATGCCACACTTCAATTAGGTTTGCCAACTCAGCATCCCTTGCAGAGAGTCTACATAGCTTATATAAATTGTCCTCAGCTTCTTTGTATCTTCAATTCTATGACAGTTTTTTGACAATTTACATGACAAATTATTATCTATTTATTGTTTTTTCCCTCAAATAAATTTCGTCCCATTTCAGACTATTTCTCCTGTTTAAAGGGAGTGTGTAACTTTACTATCTTTGCATAAGAAATCACATTTCAAAAACCTATGTCCATTGTTTAATTTATTTTCAGTTCCTGATTAAAATGTTGAATGAATTGATAAATGTAGATCACTTTGTATTCTAGGGCTCTGTTAAAGGATTATTGGCCAAAAAGAAAGAAATTCCAGATATTACACATTTTATGGAAGTGTTAGGTAAGCAGACATATATGGGGCTTTATCGTGCAGCACGGGAACGGTCATGGTAGGCAATTTTTGTTGCCGATTAGAGTCTTGTGAAGATTTTCTTCGACTGGCATGATAGTTGGTCATTTTCCACCATGTCGATAATCATGTGCGGAACGTGCAATTGAAAGGAAAAGGATGTGATGTCATTCAACACTTATTTTTAGTGGAATTGCAGGAACCGCCGACCTCTTATTGAAAATTGAAATGGTGCAAATTGATACCATCAGTGTCCCTGATACACATAAAAATTGGATGATGACAATCTCTCTTGCAGAAACTAAACCTGTCAGAGACAATTATAAGACTTGCTTGATATTATAAATTTTGCCAGGAATGATATAATCTTGTCGTTAAATCATGGGCACATGCGAGATTTTACTCAGATCTCTGTGGTTCCTGCAATTCCGCTAAAAATAAGTGTTCGATAACGTGACTCAGCGTGAAGGGCTTTATGGAATAGACACTTATTTTTTGTGGAATTGCAGGAACCACAGAATTCTGATTGAATATTGGAATGGTTCAAATTGATGCTATCATTGTCCCCAATACACATATCTTACAATCCCTTTAAATGAATGCTTGAGGACATTTGAAAAATAAAGATATTATGATATAAATAAACTGTTGTTTTTGTTGGTAGATTTAACCCATGTAACAGATCGTAATATAGAAGATTTATCTGGTGGTGAATTACAGAGATTTGCTATAGCTATTGTCTGTATACAAGATGCAGATATGTAAGTTATTAATTTTGTCGTCTAGTTTCATAACTTCAGTGAAGTATCGTTCAAAATTTCCCTCATTGCCCGTCTTCATTAGATGCATCCAAAAAGGGCCTACTACATTTATTTCATTTCATTTTGTCTAATTTTAGCCTTATGTCTGAACTGTCTAGTTATTGTCTTTGGACTTTTTTCAGCTTTATGTTTAGACTGTCTAGTTTATTATGCTATCTCGTTTCAGCTTTATGTTCAAACTGTCTAGTCTAGTATATGTTTTTTGTCTGATTTCAGCTTTATGTTCAGACTGTCTAGTTAATTATGTTTTGTCTCATTTCAGTTTTATGTTCAAACTGTCAAGTAATTATGTTTTTTCTAATTTTAGCTTTATGTTTGCACAGTCTAGTATGTTTTGTCTTATGTCAGCTTTATGTTGATCTGTCTAGTTATTGTCTTTTTTCTGATTTCAGCTTTATGTTTGATAAACAATCTCATTATGTTTTGTCTAATTTCAGCCTTATGTTTGATAAACCATCTCATTATGTTCTGTCTAATTTCAGCTTTATGATTGATAAACCATCTTATGTTTTGTCACATTTTAGCCTTATGTTTGAACTGTCTAGTTGTTATGTTTTGTCTAATTCCAGCCTTATGTTTGATAAACCATCTCATTATGTTCTGTCTAATTTCAGCTTTATGATTGATAAACCATCTTATGTTTTGTCACATTTTAGCTTTATATTTGAACTGTCTAGTTGTTATGTTTTGTCTAATTTCAGCATTATGTTCAAACCGTCTAGTTATTATGTTTTAATCTAATTTCAGCTTTATGTTTGATAAAGCATCTTATGTTTTTGTCTCATTTTAGGTTTATGATTAATGAACCGTATAGTTATGTTTTGTCTAATATCAACTTTATATTTGATAAACCATCTTATCATGTTGTGTCTCATTTCAGCTTTATATTTGATGAACCATCTTATCATGTTGTGTCTCATTTCAGCTTTATGTTCGATGAACCATCTAGTTATTTAGATGTCAAACAAAGATTACGGGCTGCCCAGGCTATAAGAAGTTTAATTCATCCTGATAAATATATTATTGTGGTGGAACATGATTTATCTGTTCTAGATTATTTATCTGATTTTATCTGTTGTTTATATGGTGTACCTAGTGCTTATGGTGTAGTCACTATGCCTTTCAGTGTTAGAGAGGGTATGTTATTCAGTTAATATATATTTTAGAAATTAGAAAGTAATGTATACCATGGCAAACACACTACATAAATTCATTGTTTTTCTAAATTTTTATGTGTATCAGGGACACTGATAGTATCAATTTGCACCATTTCAATTTTCAATAAGAGGTCTGCAGTTCCTGCAATTCCAATAAAACTAAGTGTTGAATGACATCACTAATTGCGGAGGGCCATATTATGTGATAAAGCAGATTAGTGACGTCATCAAACATTTCTTTGTTGTGGTCTTCCAGGAACCACAGACGTCTAATGGTAAAATTGGAATGGTGCAAATGGATGCTTTTAATGTCCTCGATACACATAAAGAGTATAAACAACCTCTTAACAATCTCTTTAAGGGATATGCATAGTACTGCAAACTTTGCCATCTTGATAAAACATTTTTACATTGAATATTAAAACAAAACCTGAGTTTTTGGTACATCTGTTTAGGTTGAAATAAGGCTTTCAGATTTTCAATTCAGTTTTCCCCTGCAATAATGCAGGCCGAACAGGCATATAGTTCTTCTATGTGCAACAGGCGATACTTTTAAAGATCTCTTAACAATTAGCAGTCTAAAAGTAGGCAAATGCCAAACTTTGCCCTGTTGCTCACATCAAGGTGTGTGTAATGTATGGTCGAGGGTAATGTTGGTTGGGCTTTCTGACATGACAATGACATGTAGTTCTTTCAATGGGACAAAGCCTCCATGTGCTGTAAATGATCCATCACAATTGGAAGTCTAAAAAGAGCTGGCTTATGCCACTATTCTGCCAAAATTCCCCTCTTTGCCTCTATGTGGACGTATATTGTCGGCACCCCTGTCCGTCCATCGGTCCGTCCATCAACATTTGCTTGTAAACGCTCTAAAAACTAGATTTTTTGATGGAATCAAATGAAATTCGGTATGTGTATACATATTCATAAAACGAAGATCAAGTTCGAATTTGAGCTATTTTCGACCGTTAGAAGCAGAGTTATTGCCCTTGCCCCAAAAACCTGAATATTTACCATCCGCATGCCGTGGTGGGCGTATATGGCTGTGGTCCACTATCTTAATTTTTACTCTTATGTTTCAGGTATCAATATATTCTTGGATGGTTTTGTGCCAACTGAAAATTTACGGTTTCGAGAGTCATCTCTTACATTCAAATTAGCTGAAACTGCAATAGAAGAAGAAATTCGTCGAGATTGTAGATATGAATATCCGGATATGATGAAGAAATTAGGTCAGTTTTTTGTTTCATCTAAGTTTTAAAGTGGCTAGTCCGCCGTTTTTTTTTACCAATCATACCTTAATCTCAGAAACGGGATTTTTTAGCTAAGCTAATCAGTTTAAGTGTTCACAGCTCACTGTGAAATTTGAGCTTTCAAATCCATGTCTTTAATTAGTCATGTCTGAGAGTGATAATGAGGATATAGGAAAATAGAATGTGAAATTATTTAGTAATTTGTAATTTTTTTACATTCCTAGTACTACTGAAGACTATTTACATAAATAAAAGGTCCAAATCGATCCCCGAAAATAGCAAAGATACACATTTCCTGATCAGCTTGTGGTTTGAGATTCTATAAAGTCTAAGAAGACTGGTTCAAACAAGAACCTGGTTTCCATTAATCAGTGATAAAGAACAAAGGAGCTGACATTGATAGTCGTTTGGATAGAAAAGTCAACGGAGGCTTCATGCAAATTGAACAGCCTTAGTAAAATTTCTATTCAGTCCTTTGAATATGACCAATATAATTTGTATTCTATGTTGTAGGTGATTTTACACTGACTATACAAGGAGGTCAGTTTACCGATTCTGAAATTATAGTCATGTTAGGTGAAAATGGTACTGGTAAAACTACCTTTATTAGAATGCTAGCTGGTAGATTGGAACCAGACGATGGCGGTAAGTTTTACATTGTGTATCCTACTAGATAAAAAGTATATATAATATATGTGAAGATGTATTGTATTTGATACATGCCAAGAAAAGAGGTCTTCGAATTTTAAAACTGACAGGTGACGATGTTATGTTAGCAGCACTGAATATTTTATATTTCAATTTCAAGCTCTTCCATCAACTTAAAACTCTGGCCCATATCATTTAGAAGTATTTTGGTTTTGTTTTTGCCTTCCTGTTTGTCATGTTTGTTGACAAGCAGTGACGGGTGTGTGGCGCCAGGCAGGGAATGCTTACTCTTCTAGACACATGCTATCACCTCTCATTATGAAATATTTACTGTCATATGATTGATTGCTCGTTATTACTTATGATTTCAGGTAAAACCCCCGTATTAAACGTGAGTTATAAACCTCAGAAGATCAGTCCTAAACACCAAGGTACTGTAAGACAGTTGTTACATGAGAAGATCCGAGATGCCTACATTCATCCACAGTTTGTTACTGACGTCATGAAACCATTACAAATTGAACAGATTATTGATCAGGAGGTAAGTTACTTTATAAACCCCCATATCTCCCTGCTAGCACCCTTGTTTCGTTCTTCCAATGGATAATCTGAAGGTCTAGGGTATGGGTCATTATAATATCTTCTGATTTTCGATCCAATTTGCTCCCGTGAATGATGCTGGTCAAATGTGCTTGTCCGTGGATGGACCAATGCCTCATGGAATTTTGATCTGTTTTTTTTGCATAGGGTTGAGATAATACCTTCGGATTTTTGAATGATCTGGTTAGATGTGCTGACATGGTAAATGCATCTAGTCATTCGGATGGGCCGGATGCTTTCCCCTATTGTCAATAATAGATATCAGGGAAGGGAGGGTTTGATTTTCCCAAATATACAAGCCTAGCATTATATACATACAAGATATATTTATATTATTAGGTTCAGAATTTATCTGGTGGTGAATTACAAAGAACAGCTATAGTCCTGTGTCTTGGTAAACCGGCTGATGTCTATCTTATTGATGAACCTTCAGCTTACTTAGATTCTGAACAGCGTTTACATGCTGCTAAAGTTATTAAGAGGTGAGTTTTGATACAAGATAGAATGTTTAGGTTTATTATTTTGAGGCAATTTAGCATGATCATATTACATTTACCAGAATGAAGGCCTTCCTCTTTCAATTTGTAACTGACATTGAAGATTTTCATCAAGGGCCAGTTGGATATCGCAGGTGACCGCTTGAAACCTTGTTTATGGCATATCTGGACTTTTTGACTTTTGGTATCGTTCTTGAGATTAAAACCTCTTATTCTTAGCTTGATTGTAAATAACCCCCAAACCATCATTTAAATAACACGTATATAAACAGTCAGATTTAAAACCTCGTAAAATATTATATTATATGAGGTTCATTGTTCCTTTCTTTGTGGATGAAAATGAAAAAGCTATTGGTTGAATAGGTCGAAGTACTCAAATTTTCAAAGAATGAAAACCACGTATAGCAGTAAAAAAATTTATAAAAAAGATTTTAACAAAATACGCGAACAAATAGTTTTCTGCGTTTTTCTCTAAAAGTAATTTCGCGTCATATATCATTATACGAGGTTTCAAGCTGTCACCCATGATATGTAGATCTAGGTTTGACAGTTCAACTCCCTGCAACTCATTGATAAAAGATTTTATTTGTATTGGTAATAAGGGCTGGTATGCTATGAGCTGGACCAAGATCCATTCACAGTTTGTAATATGAAAGGAATTGTATAAACATTTCCTCCTTGCAATACTGCCTGTTTTCTTTAAGCTTTTATGAAGCTTAATTGAGTTTGGTGTTCACAAATAAAATTGATACACGACTGATTTTTGAAATGTGTAATTCTTTGTTCTTGTTGTCAGATTTATCTTACATGCTAAGAAGACAGCATTTATAGTAGAGCACGATTTTATTATGGCTACTTATTTAGCTGATAGAGTGGTCATGTTTTCTGGTACACCATCAATCAATACTACAGCTAATGCGTAAGTTTATACTTTTAATGTGTTATTTTTAAAGTTAAGTACTTGTGCATAATAATACTTGCTTTTCAAACTGCAGGGATCCCTATTGTTTTAGAAGAATTCCTCTATTTTTCAAGCCAGTGGTAGTTTTTAAAAATTTGGTTTAAGGGGTGAAAAGATTTCTATATATAGGAAATGACTTCCAAAGAATCTTAAAGATGGGTTCCCTTATTTTCATTCATGAAAATAAAAATACTAATACTTATATGAATAGAAAGTAAAGGTGTTCTAATGACCTCGAAAATACCAGTTTATCTCACATGTCCATAATTAATTCATAATTAGCTAAATTAGAAGAGAATTATCAACAGAATTCCAATGAGTGACCGATCAAGAAAGGTCAATAAAGTTTTTTTGTTCATCCAGACTGTACATACATAGACATTTATGATTGTTTAAAACTCTACATGCAATAAGAACATAATGATATGATTAAGAATACATGATAATTCATTAAAAACACCAATTAATCAAATAGTTTGCTTAATTTGACACTAAAATGGTACAATTCTATCCCTGATCCCCTTGACCTTCAGCTGATCTTTTCCATTTCCTCTATTGTTTTTTTAATTCCTTACTGGCATCCCTGTAACTGATAAAGATAGATTAACTATTTATAACAAATATTATCATGACTTCAAAACCTTCTAGTGAAGGTGACCATCATCAAAGTCTTTAGGATGTGAGCATTTGATTTGTATGTGGACTCTGAGGGTTATTATTTCAGGCCTCAAACTTTACTACATGGAATGAATAAGTTCTTAGAATCATTAGATATAACATTTAGACGTGATCCAAATAACTTCAGACCTAGAATTAATAAACTCCATTCCATCAAGGTAAGAATATATTGAAATGATTATTATTTATTGTGAGTTACTACTGTGAGAGGCTAAGAGACCATTGATTTGTTAACAAATTCCTGGATTTTGTCTTTGATCATGTTACCTGAACGGTAATGTGTGGTTTAATTGGTTTCTGGTCGTCTTTTTTTAATCCCTTTTTATACGCCCACATCTCTCTATGTATATTGTTGTCCGCCTGTCCGTCCATCTGTCAACATTTACTTGTAAACGCTCTAAAAACTAGATTTTTTGATGGAATCAAATGAAATTCGGTATGTGTAGACATATTCATAAAATGAAGATCTAGTCCGAATTTGAGATATTTTCGACCGTTAGAAGCAGAGTTATTGGCCTTTCCCCCAAAATCTTGAATATGCTATTACTCTCTTCGTTTTCAACCGATTTTGATGAAACTTAAAATGGATGTTTCGTTTTTACCATGCGCATGCCATGAAGGGCGTATATGGCTGTGGTCCACTATCTTTAAAAGACTTTTCATCTGATTTGAGTAAAACTGGAAACCCCTTTTAAAAGAAAAGTTTGTACTTAAACAAAAGGTTTAATGTATTAGATTGACCATGAAAACCTTGCCTGTCATCCAAAGATCTGTACTACCTCCTTTCTTTATTTCAGGATTCTGAACAGAAGAAAACTGGAAATTATTTCTTCTTAGATGATTAAACAATAGTTTTGAGGCTGAGAAAAATATATGAAAACTCAATGAGTTAATTTTTGCATCAATTTCAGTGGTTTTGATTTACTGTACATGATATCAAAAGGGTTCTGGGTGTAGTTTTGTACAGTGTTCTGGTATTTCTTCCTCTTTTAAGAGTTAATGTGTATGTTTTAACTTTGTACAGAAAATTGTCTGCACTTGAAAACATGTGGCTTAATTAAGCAATGATTGAAATTAAGGTGCAGGAAAAAAATCAAAATATATTTAAGTTATTGTACATTCTAAAATTGAAAATACATATAAGCTCTATCAACAATTTAAACAAAGGATGGGATCCCTTTGATGTACATGTATGTAAAAGTCGCAACTGTATTTTGCTCATGTGGGAAATTTATAAGCAACTAAGAAAATTATTAAGAATATTGTACCATTTCGATTTTGGCCCAATTTGTTTTGAAATTGCAGTGCTTTAATTTGACAGTATACATTACAGTTCTAGTTTGTTTCTATAGTACATGTATATGTAAACTTTCAAAATTGATTAAATAGATGTACATAGAAAGTACTTGTGTTGTATTGGCCCCTCAAACAAGTGGTTGCCTAGCAAGATACGCCCACTTTCCTAATACATTGTCAGTATATCAAGGGCAGTCACCTATCTGTGTCAAATCATACCAAAAATCTAATTTGTGCAAGATATTGTTGATTTAAACAAACACACATTATTTAATAAAATTCTGACATAAACTGTCACCTCTATCGTGTTCACATGCCACCAAATTTTGATGCGTTTTTACTAAGTCAAGGGCAAGTACTCAAATTCTGTTGATCAAAAAATTGTGAAATTCAAACTTGACTAAGATCTCACCATTACAAATATTCACACCAAATTTCATTTAAATCGGATGAAAAATGTAGTCTCTATTGTGTTCACAAACAAATTTTGACAAGTTTTTTTCCTAAGTCAAGGGCAATAACTCAAAAACTGTTCATCAAAAGATCGTCAAGTTTAACGTTATCCAAGATCTCATTATATATTATCACGCCAAATTTCGTTTTAATCAGATGAAAACTGTAGTCTCTAATGTGTTCACAAACAAATTTTGACAAGTTTTATCCTAAGTCAAGGGCAATAACACAGACATAATAATGTGGGCGTATACCAACTAGACCAAGAACGTTAACTTTCCACAGCTCATGGACATTTTGTGTATCCTTTAAACATAAAAATAACACATTTTATTTGATGGATTTTAATTCATACTTACAAATATAATATAAATAAAAATTATTTCTTTTAATAAATATAATATTTCAAAAAATAAAAGACGTAATCAAACTAACTAAATAAATAGATATCACAGAATGTATTGGTTTCAACAATATAGCAGGTAACCCTCTTTAATACATGTTACTTTAGTAATGGTACAATGATTATCTGTATGTGGACAGTCAATGTAGCATTAAAGAAACATTACTGATGATATCATTCTTAAAATTGCGCTGACTGATTGTTGCCAGTCGACAGACTCACACTTGGTCATTTTTGTGGATGTCAGTAAGGTCGAGGTTCAAAATAACAAAATAAAAATCTGAATTGAAAACATTTTACTCTGAATGCCGATTGAGTATTATTTTGAATAAGTTAAAATAATAAATATGTGTATAGAGGAGATATTCCTGATCCTAGACAAATCATAAACAAGAGCAGTCCACTTTATTTATAGGTAGAATAAATAGCAATAGAAACTGTACAGATTAAACTTACATTGAGTTGGTAACTACTTCAACTACCTAAAAATAAAATGGACTGCTTGTCACCCATTTGAGCAAAAATATCTCTGCACGACTATATTAAACCATGATATGCATAGCACTTAATTGATGAACTGAAAACAGTTGGGTTAGTCATGTACATTCAAAGATAATTCAGAATATAAACTAGAGCATGCGGTGATCTATGTACACTATCACTCATTAGCTTAGCTGTTTCTGGGACATGGGTAAGATTGGTCAAACGGATAGCAAAGCTGTCCCTTACTACCCTAACAATGATATAAAAACAGATTAGAAACAATAAACAGAATATAGAATGTCTAAAGGCATATAAAAAATGTAAAAAAAAAACATATATGTACCCTTTTGATTGTAAATATCAATTAGAATATCAACATAAAGTAAAGGACAGAGTACAATACATTAATAACTTAAAGTACAGGACAGAGTAAAATACATTAATAACTTATTGTAAAGGACGGACTACAACAGAATTTTAAACTTATAATAAAGGACAGAGTACAATAAATTATTAACTTATAGTAAAGGTTGGAGAACAATACTTTATAAACTTATAGTGAAAGATGAAGTACAATACATGACAGAGTACAATATATTGTAAGTTAGTACAATGCATTATAAACTTATTGTAAAGGACGGACTACAACAGTATTTTAAACTTATAATAAAGGACAGAGTACAATAAATTATTAACTTATAGTAAAGGTTGGAGAACAATACTTTATAAACTTATAGTGAAAGATGAAGTACAATACATGACAGAGTACAATATATTGTAAGTTAGTACAATGCATTATAAACTTATTGTAAAGGACGGACTACAACAGTATTTTAAACTTATAATAAAGGACAGAGTACAATACATTATAAACTTATTGAAAAGGACAGACTACAATAGTATTTTAAACTTATAGTGAAGGACAGAGTACATTACATTATAAAAGACAGGCTACAATAGTATTTTAAAATTATAATAAAGGACAGAGTACAATACATTATAAACTTATCGTAAAGGTCAGAGTACAATACATAATTATCTTATAGCACATACAGAGCACAATATATTTATCACAGAAAATCATCAGGGCAATAATGTATAGTGAAGGACAGAGTACAATACATTATAAACTTATAGTGAAGAACAGAGTACAATAGTATTTTAGACTTATAATAAAGGACAGAGTACAATACATTATAAACTTATTGTAAAGGATGGACTACAATAGTATTTTAAACTTATAATAAAGGACACAGTACAATACATTATAAACTTATGGTAAAGGATGGACTACAATAGTATTTTAAACTTATAATAAAGGACAGAGTACAATACATTATAAACTTATCATGAAGGACAGAGAACAACACACTTATTGTCAAGGACAGAGTACAATACATAATTATCTTAAAGAAAAGGACGGAGTACCCTACACAGAAATTCATCAGGGGAATACTGTATAATTAGATAAAAAAAAATTATTTTTCTTTTTTCAGATATTTTCGTCGGGGTTTTTGATTAAAAATATTGTTATTAGAACGGGACTGTGGTTAAAAAAGAAAACAAACTTTTAATCTAGTTTTAATACAGCAAATATGAGCAATAGTGTTACGTATTTTTTCACTCATTAACACACAATAGGTCAATTATGCTATGATGTTTATGTTCAATATTATGTTATTTTAACTCCACCTTATTTTAATGAAGCACATCTCTATATTTGTGACTGATTGGAATTTTGTTTTACCAAGCTTACCTACTATCTAGTTACTACATTACTAACTATACATAAACAAATAAAAATAAACTATCTTAAAGGTATACTACCACTTAGATGACCTTAAAATTGAAATTTTCAAACTTCGCATAATTCCTTTAAAAATATCTCAAACTAGGAATTTTACTCACAATCACTATATATCAGAGTATGTTAAAATGACGAGTCATCATTTTTACATTCTAATGCAGATATTTCTGGACGTACATTAATTTGAAGGCTCAAGTATCAACGGTTAGCTGTGAACACTATTACTTTTTGGCTTATCTAAAAAATTCCTGTTTCTGAGACTAAAGTATGATTGGTCAAGAAAATGGCACATCTTTCCCTTTAATTCAATGTCCATTCTAAGAAGAAGTATTCCTTTAAATTACACCAATATTCAACAATCTTTTTTTGTGCAACCAATATTTTATTGTAGGACACAAGCTTTGCTCTTTTTATTGCCTGATTTTTCTTTCTGTTGATCAGCTTTTGGTTCCTGACTTATCTTTTTATTCACAGAATCTTTCCTTGGCGTTTCTGTGCTTTTTGGTGTATCCTCGGTTTTAACATCTGGGTTGTCAGCGTTAGTATTTTCATCTTTATTTGAAAAATTTTGTTCAGGGACAACCAAAGAGAACTCTCTTTGTAGATTTTCACTTATCTCCCTCACTGAAAAATGAAACAAAATGAGTTTTACATTTTCTTTTCTGATTCTGGATGGTCCAATGAAGATGGGATATTATATGAAAATGTACAATGAGTGAATTCAGTTAGGACAGGCTTTTCCATTTTACATTACGAAAGAAGGAAAGAAACAACCATATTTTACAAGGGTAACAACTTAGGGTCACAGTTAAGGGTCCTTTCTACCAGCTGGTTCTTTGCCAAATCTCTTGGCATTGATCTTTCCCGGATTATCCGTACCCATTTACAGCTGAGTCAAAAAATGAAATGAATCATCCTAATCTTCTGCACCTAATTGGGCTAAAGAAGATGGCAACACCATGCAGTGTGTAATGAGGGAATTTTGCCATGACAGCGACATTAGCTGACTCTTTTCAATTTCCAACTGTCAAGGAATCTTTAACGTGCACAGCCTGTAGCACACGAGGCCTTGATTTATTTGCCTATCCAAACGATATGTTGGGATTGACCCTAGACCTTCAGGTTAGCGAGCAAGCGTCTAACTCACTGAGCGACCAGGGCTCCTTTCAGTTATCAAGAGATCCATACCTTTTTATGATGCATAATTGATCATATTTAATAATGATATACTTCTGAGTTGCACAATGAGATAATGAATCCCAAGTGAACTTTTTTATCAAGGGTCATTATGTTGCCTGACTCCATTCACTTCAAAAATCCATATGCACTTTATGTAGCTAAGCAACAGAACTTACTATCTGGTAGATCTATCTTTTGAACTGTTTTTTTCTCTGATTTTTTCTTTTTATAAAGATTAGATTGTTCCATGACTTCTTTGAGCAAAATATCTTCTTGGTAGAGGTTTTTAAAGGAACTGGTATTCCCCCCTGTTCTATTGGTTAATTTGGTTATTCTTGGCATTTTCTGGTGTTTATCACATAACCAATAAACTTTACCACTTGGTAAATGACACCTATTCAATATAGTACATGAAATGACAATGCTAATGAAGGCACACAATGGCTTAGAAAAAAGCAAGTAAGAAAGAAACAACCAAAGATAACATCACAGGTTATGGAGGACCCTAATACAAAATTATCCATCTTTTTGTTTGGCGGATCTGATTTAAATAAATAGGTTTAAAAAACCTGCACTTTTAGAGGTGCGGAAAAATTCCCAGAGAACATGGCCTAGATTTTCTGTCTCTACACCAGCCCACAACTTTAAAAATAGCTATCTGAGACTGGAATAGAGGCAGATGTTTCTGTCAAAGACCAACTGAGATTAGAACCCATGACCACCATCTGTTTGACGTAACCAAATTGTTAGAAGACATCTTTATTCAATTGCAAATTGCAAATAATTTAATTTTAAAAAGTTTATCTCATGCTGTTGATGTATATTTCAGATATCAATTCTATTACTAATGGACTGGAAAAATGAAAGTAGACCTACCTGACAAGTTGTTCCTGAAAGTCTGTAGATTCTGTAGAATCATCTTCTACTAGTATAGATCTAAGTGTTTGAAAACCCTGTAAGAATTCTGTATGTTCCATGGATTCCTAAAGAAGTTATATAATATAATGATATAATTTAAAATGAGATCATTTGTCATGTTCAGTCTAAATAATTTCAATATCAAATGGGGTCTTGGTTTGTTTGATTCATACTTGTTGTTAATCGGCTCATCTTTAAAGACTTCAAAAACTCCCTACATCTCCAATGAAGATTCCTCACTTTTCTGCATATTGTCTTATAACATTTGATAAAATTTCAACATGTTCACTCATATGCAACAGTGATTTTTGTGTTGTATATCTAGTGACTTAGTATTTGACTTTTAACAATATGAAATGTTTACTGCCTTTAGACAACACGATAGTGACTTAAGGCAACATGACATCAACACTTTAGGCAAAATGATATCTAGTCACTTTAGACAACTAGTGACTTGACAATGTGACATCTAGTGACATTAGACAACATGGCATCTAGTGATTTTGGACAACATGACATCTAGTGACATTAGACAACATGGCATGTAGTGACTTTAGGCAACATGACATCTAGTGATTATAGAGAACATGGCATCTGGTGACTTTAGACAATATGATATCTTGTGACTTTAGACAACATGATAGCTAGTGACAATAGACAACATGATAACTAGTGACTTTAGGCAACATGACATCTAGTGATTATAGAGAACATGGCATCTCATGACTTTAGACAATATGAAATCTTGTGACTTTAGACAACATGATAGCTAGTGACAATAGACAACATGATAACTAGTGACTTTAGACAACATGATAGCTAGTGACTTTAGACAACATGATATCTAGTGACTTTAGACAACATGACATCTAGTGACCAATGGCTTACCTGTTCAATCCAATTGATAAAATCCTGTCCACTGTTACTGACAAAACAGTTTAAATTTACATGACTTTGTCTGGCTAGAGCATACAGTCTGGCTAAATATGGTGACATTTTCTTTAGCTGTTCCTTATTACTATCACTTCTTTTAAAGGATAAAGACTTCTGACATAAATGCCAACCCTAAACATAAATTAATCAAAAATAATAAGCAAACTTAAAGTTAGAATTTTTTTTATTTCAAGTTTACTCCTTATAGACCCTTTCCAATTTTATCCCTTTCCAACTTTGAGTATAATTTAAAGAGTTATTGGAAGACATCAGTGGGTTCATCTATCAGTATCATTGCTTGTCATTCTGCTCTTAATGACTGGTGTGCACTTATGCAAAATGCTAGTGAAGATATAACTATTTATTCTTACCTCTTCATATTCACACAGCATCTTAATACACAACCCTTCTTCATCCCAAATATCATCAATATCACTTTCACCTGTTATCACCTACAGAATAAATAAATATCATCAATATAGCTTTCACTGTTATCACCTACAGAATAAATATAGATCTTCAATATCACTTTCACCTGTTATCATCAAAATCACTTCCACTGTTATCACCTACAGAATAAATATAGATCTTCAATATCACTTTCACCTGTTATCACCTACAGAATAAATATAGATCTTCAATATCACTTTCACTGTTATCACCTACAGAATAAATATAGATCTTCAATATCACTTTCACTGTTATCACCTACAGAATAAATAAATATCATCAATATAGCTTTCACTGATATCACCTACAGAATAAAAAAATATCATCAATATCACTTTCACCTGTTATCACCTACAGAATAAATAAATATCATCAATATAGCTTTCACTGTTATCACCTACAGAATAAAAAAATATTATCAATATCACTTTCACCTGTTATCACCTACAGAATAAATATAGATCTTCAATATCACTTTCACCTGTTATCATCAATATCACTTTCACCTGTTATCATCAATATCACTTTCACATGTTATCACCTACAGAATAAATATAGATCATCAATATCATTTTCTTCTGTTATCACCTACAGAATAAACAAAAATCATCAATATCACTTTCACCTGTTATCACCTACAGAATAAATATAGATCATCAATATCACTTTCACCTGTTATCACAATTTGACAATTTGGTATTTCTGAATACAATCTTAATTCCTATACCAGTATTAATCATTGACACCGGATTATTGGCCAGTCTGAAAATCTGTTATGCACTTAAATTGTATTGTAGAATTTGTTTTTGCCTGAAGTCTGAATTCATAGCTTTAAACTTAGATCCCTAATGAATCATAAACTTCTTTACCTGAATTATATCTTTAGATTTTGAAGCAGTTTTTGGTCTGGAGCCTAATTTACTCATCTTACTGAATGAGCTTTCAACAGTATTCCTTGACTTGTTTGAATTTTTCTCTGAAATGGAAGTAAAAACTGTCTTTGTTTTGATGCCTGCTTATAATAATAATAATAATAATAACAATAACAATAATAATAACAATAATAATAATAACAACAATAACAATAATAATAATAACAACAATAATAATAATAACAACAATAATAATAATAATAATAATAATAATAATAATAAAAATAAAAATAATAATAATAATAATAATAATATCTGTATTACAAAAGGGTAAAACAAATTAGGCCATACAATATGAGCATCCAGATAAGATCCTGAGTACCCACTGATAGGCCTGTCTTTCATTCTGCCCTCATTGACAATACAAACAAAACACACATTTTAACAATAAACAATTACATGAATAACAACAATCAAAGGTCATAAAGACATCTAATAAAAGATAAAAAGTAACCATTAACTTTGGCCTCCTTGATACTTTAATAATGGGCCAAATATTGACTTTTTTAAAACTGGACTGTAGAGTCTACATTTTTGCAGGAAATACATGTTGTATCCAGTCTTTTTGCTAAGGAGTTATGTCCCTTTGATTTAGACTTTGACTGTGCATCACATGGTTACCGTGTTGAACTCTTAGAAGAGACGCTGATGACTACAAGATGTCTATTTATGCTACCTATAATGGCTGACCATTGAAATGCCATCTAACTCAGGCTGATGGCAGAACTGTTTCCTTTGTTATTTTGTGAATTGTAGGTACTAACAAAAATGGTCAAATTCCAAATTACATGTTATTATGTATTACGTAATATGTCGTACAGTCAAAATCAGATTGAACACGATTAATAAAAGAAATTCTTAAGATCATGAATGAAGAAAATGATTACTAACAAAGAAAAATACAAGCAAAACTTAAACATACATTTAAATCAGATTGTATCTATAATTGACTTTCGAGCCATCAGAAAGGTAAAAAAAAAAATTAGAAACTTGAAATGTGAACTCTCTTAAAGAGATAATGAGAAAAAATATCCAATTACAAAAGCAGAACAAAAGGTAAAATAAACTTACGTTGTTTTTCTAGATCGATCAGTATAAGTCTGGGCATGGGTGTTTGATCTAGTCTACTCATAAAGGATATAATATGTCTCATAAACTTTCTCTGCATTAACTCTCTTTCTTCCTATATACATAAAATACAAACAGTCATTAAGATAAACTAATGCTCAGTTCACACCAACGGCGCTTTGATCGCGCTGTAAAGCGGCATACAAAGCGGTTCCAAAGCGTGACAAAGCTTGACTAAAGCGCCAGGGTCGTAATAGATCGTTGGAAAGCTTTGAGCAAAGCTGGATTACCGGCAAGAGCGCCAACAAATTTTAAACTGTTTAAAAATTTTGGGCGCTCTGTCACGAATTGATTAAAGCGCCGAGAACGTATCAAAGCTTAACAAAGTGTAACAAAGTTCAGCAAAGCTTGACTCAAAGCGTAGGAAAGCTTAGCAGAGCTTTATTCTTCACAGTCTGTCACCACTTGATCAAAAGCGGCATGAAATCGGCCATTTCGAAATTTTCCAATGTGTAACAGAGCTTAACAATTCACAACAGAGCTTGATAATCGTATCAGAGCTTGATTTAAAGCGTCATAACCGCATCAAAGCTTAATAAAGCTTATCAAAGCGTGATTTAAGGCGTAACAAGGCCTGATCAAATCGGGAAATAATTCGTCCCCAAAGCGTAACCAATTCGTATCAGAGCGTAACATTACTTAGGAGATCGTGATATTTTTGGAAAAGTAAACAAAAAATGATGGCGCTTTGCTCGCCGATTTAAAGCGCAGCATTCGCCGTTGGTGTGAACTAGGCATAACTGGATTCAAACAAGCCTTCTGGAATGTGTATTGATATTTCTACTGGCACCATTCTGACTGCTGTATCTGTGGTTCCAGCGATTCCTGAGAAATATGATTCCACTTCAATGGTATTTGTATTAGTGATGTCATAATCTCTTCAAAATTTTCTGGAACTACTGGCACCAAATGTGCAATTAGAAACTATAAGTTCCCTAAAATGATAACTCTTTGGAATCCATTGGACTAAATAGCACTTTATAAGTTGTAAATAATGAATTTGAAATTAGATTTTTTAACACATTCAGGGCAATAAATTTTCCAATCTTTAAATAGTTGCAAAATTTTTCTGCCATCTTATGTGTATCAATGACACAAAAAGCTTCTCTTTCAATCATAAGAATTTCCGCAAGATTTAAAAAAAATCACTCTTATCTCTAAATCCAATTAAATCAGATATAATATTTGAATCCAAAATCATTTAGGCTCACAATTAGTAAAAGACATAAAACTCTCATTTTATTCCAAAAATCCAGCATTGATACTCAATTTAAAAAAAATACCAAGAATATGGCAATGAAAATCTTAAAGGGACAGATGCCCCATTGTTTTTACTAATTGTACCTTAGTTTCAGAAACAGGAATTTTTAGCTAAGCCAAGTAGTAATAACGTTCACAGCTCACCGTCAAAATTTGAGCCTTCAAATTCATGTGTGTCGAGAATTATCCCCGTTTGAAAGACGAGTCATTTTTTCTTGAGACACTGCCATATATAGAAAAGATATCTATAGAAATAGGAAAAGAAATTCCTAGTTTGAGATATTTTTGAAGCACATATCTAGTACTATTTTTTACATATTACATAAATCAAGCCCCGAAAAGGCGCATCTGTCCCTTTAAAGTACTGATACTGTACCTGATATGAAATATTAGTTGACTGTTTCACAGCCTTCTGCTGAATTTCTGTGACATTTTTCTTAACATTCTGAGCTTCTTGTTTTAATTTTTCAGCAGCAGAAGGCATCCTCTCTTTAACAAATGTCACTAATGTTTCTAGGGCTGAATCGTTCTGTTGTTGTAAATATACTTCAGAAGATTTGGATCTTTGCTGTAGAATACCAATCTATTCCAATAAAGAATAAAATAAGTAAAGTTAAGAAACTAATGCAAAGCTGGAAGCAGTGGCATTTCTGCAAAGCAAATGAAATGAATGGAGTTTTACATCCTACTTTTCTGCGCCATTTGGGCTAATGAAGACGGACTACGCCATTGTCCCATCTGAACGACTTATCCATGTCAGTCCCTCTTACCTGTATCACTGACGGGGAAAGCAGGTTGAAAAATGCTATGGTATTATCTTCACCTATGCTGAGATAGAACCCTTGACCTTCAGGTTAGCAAGCAAGCGTTCAACTCACTGAGTCACCGTGGCTCCGAAAAGCTTTAGATGGAGGGGTGGAGTGTGAGTCACATAATTGTCAAAGGATTCCTGTCAGTGAATTCCTCCATACATGCATACTTTTTTACAGTGTAGAACCAGATCTTGGCTACCCACCCACCAAAGCGCAACTATGTCGCACTTACAGTTTCAGAAAGTCCTTCAAAACCCCAAAAAAGGCAAAAAATCAGCAAAATTTCATCGTTTTGATCAGCGAAATAAATTTCCATGTGTATCCATAATTATTCACATTTGAAAGTTAAAAATTCAACTTTTTATTCAAATTTACATTTTAGTGAGACTATACCATATATAGAAAACACATATATAGAAATAGACAGTGAAATTTCTAGTTTGAGGTATATTTGAAGGTATTATGCGATTTTTGTGTGTTTTAGTACTTCTTAAGCACAATAAAGATCCAAATCAATCCACAAAAAATGCAGACTATTCCCCTTTAACACAGGGATAACTGTTAAGATTGTGCCAATACCTCTGAACGTTTCCACTCTTTACCAGTACCAACTACAACTATAACTAATGGTAACTTTAATGTTAAAACAGCAAACCTTAATTCCATCATACAATTCACTGAATTTATATACTGAAATTTATAACAATATGTAATCTTTAAAAATGAAATGAAATTGAGTTTTATATCCTACTGAGGTTCAAATCCTGGTCCACAAGTGAAATTTTGGTAACCCTGAATAAATCATCTTCCCTTGTTACTCAAAGCGACCCAGCTGTGAATTCGTAGGTGTTAATCTAGGAAAGATAAATGTCAACCAGCTGTGTAAGAAATGATCCTTGTGAAGTACTTTATTATTTTATTACTCTCCTGGTTGGGAGTATCACTATGGTTACCATTATATAAATACACAGCGCAGTCGTTAGGGAAGGGTCCACGGGGGCTGGGTCCCAGCAGGTGAAAATTAAGCCCCAGCAAAACCTTCTTCAGTTCAGCAGAGATGTGTTAATTTGCAGAGCCTCATCAGAAACGAGTTCTACTACTTTTTCAAATTTTCAGTGGCAGGGGGAAGAGTCACCCAGATCATAGCTTGTGGGAGTATCTCTATGGTTACCATTATATAAAAACAGCCCTGTCGTTAGGCAAGTATCAGTCGGGGCTGGGGTAAGCAGGTGAAAATTAAGCCTAAGAACAAAATCCAAGCCCAAGCACCAATTCACTCTTGGTGACAGGGCTGTAAATACAGGATCCTTGAGAACGTAAGTAGTTTATTTTTTTCTTACTCCTGATTGAGAGTATCACTATGGTTACCATTACATAAATACACAGCCCTGTTGTTAGGAAGGTATCAGTCGGGGCTGGGGTAAGCAGGTGAAAATTAAGCCTAAGAACAAAATCCAAGCCCAAGCACCAATTCACTCTTGGTGACAGGGCTGTAAATACAGGATCCTTGTGAACCTAAGTAGTTTATTTTTTACTTACTCCTGATTGGGAGTATCACTATGGTTACCGTTATATAAATACACAGCCCTGTTGTTAGGGAAGTATCAGTCGGGCAGAGGCAAGCAGGTGAAAATTAAGCCTAATAACAAATCCAAGCCCAAGCACCAATTCACTCTTGGTGACAGGGCTGTAAATTCTACAAGGCATATAAAAGAATACCATACCTCATCTGATACACAGGCTACAACCACTTTACTGTGTCCTAATCCTTTACATATATTATCATATAAGCCTTTATTCTACAAAATAATATAGCATTTCTTTCATAAAATCAGGAACAAACTAAGAAGCTATAGCATTGATTTCATATATCCCAATTAGGAGATCTGGGCATATGAAAATGACTTAAAAAAAACTGTAATCTTGGGATTTTGAAGATCTCAAAATGAATCTAAATGAAATTGAGTTGAGGTTTAAATTTTGTGCATGTGATGAGAAATGAGGTCTAGACAGTAGCATTAAAGGGACAGATAGTCCATTTTTTTTTTACCAATCATACTTTAGTCTCAGAAACAGGAATTTTTTAGCAGAGCCAATCAGTAAATAGTGTTGGGATTTTGAAGATATCAAAATGAATCTAAATGAAATTGAGTTGAAGTTTAAATTTTGTGCATGTGATGAGAAATTAGGTCTAGACAGTAGCATTAAAGGGACAAGTAGTCCATTTTTTTTACCAATCATACTTCAGTCTCAGAAACTGGAATATTTTAGCTGAGCTAATCAGTAATAGTGTTCGCATCTCACCGAGCCTCCAAATCCATGTGTATACAGAATTATCTGAGTTTGAAAGTTAAAATGATGACTCAACAATTTAAGATACTCTGTGATATATAGAAAAGACATATAGAAATACTGAGTAAAATTTCTAGTTTGAAGTATTTTTTAAGGAATTATATGACTTTTGTACATTTCTAGTACAAGACTGAAGACTATTTACATATAATCAAGACTAAAATCAACACCCCAAAATGGCACACCTGTCCATTTAAATTGCTTTTTTCAAAGTTCCATCTGGGATATTTTTAACTTAAACTCAATAACTAAAAATACATTATTTTTCAAACACCAACCAAAAACATAGCGATTTTAAAATGTTTTTGTGTAGTTTTAAAATTTGATGGCGAGATAATTTATAAGTTAAAACTTTCAGATGTAATGGATACATTCCTCCAGATTTTGGTCTACAGATTGCATCAATTTGAGCATCTAACTTTCCCAACATACATAAGATAACTGAAAAATACACTTACAACAGTCGTCTGTTCACAATCTAACCAGACATTAATACCATTGTCACTTAAATATTCTTTGATTTTTCTCGGATCATAATGTCCCAAACTACCAGCAGTACTTTTAGTTCCTTTTGCTACAGCATCATGTGAATTAGACCAACAGTAACTTAGGAAACATTCTGGGTAGTCCACCAGTTCCTGCAAATAAATCTTATAATCAAATCGATATATGAAAAAAGGTCAAAACTTTCATTCAAAATCCATAATCTGGCACAAGCATCATCAAGATGTTGAAAAGGCATTGATTGCTGTGTCCAAAACTCAAAAGGATGCAAGGATGTTCTTCTTCTATGGTGGCGATATCAGCCACAATACAATTCAAAGATTATAAATGAGACTAACATAGCCAGAGTATTATTACAATATTACCACTCAATATCTTGGTGTCTACGTTATGCCAATCTTATTGAAATTATATTACAATTGCGTATCTTTTTTATATACGCCCACATCTCTCTATGTGGATGTATATTGTCGGCACCCCTGTCCGTCCGCCCGTCAAAATTTGCTTGTAAACGCTCTAAAAACTAGATTTTTTGATGGAATCAAATGAAATTCGGTATGTGTATACATATTCATAAAACGAAGATCAAGTTCGAATTTGAGCTATTCTCGACCGTTAGAAGCAGAGTAATTGCCCTTGCCCCAAAATCTTGAATATGCTATAACTCTCTTAGTTTTCAACCGATTTTGATGAAACTTAAAATGGATGTTTCGTTTTTACCATCCGCATGCCATGGTGGGCGTATATGGCTGTGGTCCACTATCTTTGTTTTATGATATTAAAATTCTATATTTACTTACTGTTTTTTCTAGTCCTTTTAGTTTATCTTTAACAGCAATTATCAATTCTTTTATTTTCTCATTATATCGTGCTCCAGATTTAAACATTATCATTTGCTATAAAAATATATAAGTTGTAATATAAAGGTTACAAATATAAGTGTTGGAATGATATAATAAGCTTGTTTACAATGAATAAATAAAAGTTTAATGACCATCATGTTTCCTCATTATTCCAGTCAATCTAGCTGTGAATGGGAAGGCTACACTAATCTGTGAAAGATGCATGTAAGCCAAGGACCAGCTGGTAGAAAGAATACTAATTGTGAACCTAAATTGTTATCCTGAGAAAAAAATGATCATATATTTTTTTTTTTTAAACAATATTTATTCAAGAATTACAAATATTACAATATACATATAGATAACATATGGTTTTGGAAACAAGCTTTAAAGCTTATATAAATCCATTACCATGATCATATATCTACTAAAGGTGGTTGCCATAATGGATCAATTGAACATTTACAGTCTAATATTATGCAAGTAAAATGATGATGTGTAGATGAATTATGCTAAGCACTGTACAAAGAGAGAATTCTAGTCACACATGAGAATCTGCCTTTTCCTTTGCAATTTCCTAATAATTATCATTAATGATTCTCTGATTGATGATACATAAACATAAACTTTTTCTGAATATCAAAGATGAGTTCCCTTGTCTTCATTTATGAAAATGAAAATGCTAATATTTTATGAAAAGAAAGTAGAGGTGTTCTAATGACTTGGAAAAATACCAGTTTGTCTCACTTGTCCATAATTAATTCATAATTAGCTAAATTAGAAGAGAATTACCAGCAGAATTCCAGGAGTGACTGATCCAGAAAAGTCAAAAAGTCCTTTTTTTGTTTATCCAGACTGTACATACATGGACATTTATGATTGGTTAAAACTCTTAATTATATCCTATTAGAACATATTTAATATAATGATATGATTAAGGATACATGATAATTCATTAGAAACACCAATTAATCAAATAGTTTTCATAATTTGACACTAAAAAATAAGGAAACCCATCTTTAATGGCTTACCTCCTGTTTACCAATTCTCATACCCAGATCAGTCTGTTGCCATGAGAATCTGTTACCAATTGGTGCTATGATATATTGTTTAGTTAAACCATCTATAGCATACAGTAATAAATCTCTACATCTCTCATCTTTTTCAAAATTATCAGAAACTAGAGCCAGTACAACCTGGTAAATAATACAAAACATAAACTGTACAAAGGTCTGTTACTTGTCATTCTTATGATAGGGGCATGTACTATGTTTTCTTCAGATCATGTCATTCAAAATCACCAATAAATTTTCATGCCTGATCACAAAAAGGAACATGTAGCAAATTTTTTGAGATTATACGCCCCTCGACAGAATTTTATTTTAACAACATTTCCAATCAGTTTAAAAAATATAGATCTCGAAAAAAAATATGCCGGACATTTGCAGACTAGCCAATTGGCCAGGTAAACAATCTGCTGAATCTAATTTCTTTTCTTGCTGGCGATTTGTACTAGCATATGAAATAGTTATTGACTTGATCAGCACACAAGCGAATTGGTTCAGCTTTTTTACAATTCACTGCAATAGGGAAAAATATATATAAAAATATGCAAATAAAATCTGTATTTGTTAGCGTACAATCTGATCAAATCGCTACATTCTGTGATACAAGAAAGATGGCTATTGGGTCAAGGTATAAGACCCAGTAGATAATAGCTTGACATTATGAAGATGAACATGTTCCTTTAATATTGTACCAAAAACCATTTACTGGACAAATCACAATGAACCTTATGTTACTAACCTTACAGTTCTTTAAGGCCAGTGTTAGTTCATTTACACCAACTGTGTTCATATCAGCATTAAACCAGCTGCAAATAATTACAAATATTCAATAATAATCACATTTTCCATGTCAGCTTCTTCTAACTGAATTTGAACAAACTTATAGCACAAATAGATGACATCATATGCTTGGTAACTATAGCAACGAATGGTGGTTGTGGGTTAGCAGGTGAGTTATGTGTTTATGAATAATCTGAGAAAGGCCAGAGGCGTTTTTGTGGGACGATTCGATTAGGTAGTACGATTTGGTGCAATATGGTTTAGATTAGCAGTGGTCCACAAATGCGAAATTCAAATCGCTATCGCTATTTTGATTACATTAGCAACTTAGGAAAAGCCTAATCGAATCGCCTAACCACCTCCTGGGACGGTTAAGACGAATAGCCAAATCAGTTTAGGTAAACTGGCTCACAAATGTACCGATTAGCCTAATTGTCCTGGCTCACAAACGCACAAAAAAGCTATTCTACCTAATCGAATCGGCCCACAAAAACGTCTCAGGTTTAGCCAAGGACTAGCAGGTAAAAAGGATTCTTATGATCCTTAGTTGTTATCTTTGTAAAAAATAACTTTTTTTTTTCTTGAAAAGTCAAAACTTTTGCCAAAATTGATCTTACCAACTGTAGCCAGCATTTTCCAAGTCATTATTAATACGAGTAGGATCAATATCATCTCCTGATTTCCCACGACTGGGCATATCTTTAGCACTGTATAGTATTGTTACATCCTTAGACATTTCTGTGTTTAATTCCTGCATCATTATAATACTTCTTTGCAGATGAGCATCAAAATCTGTGGTCCCATCTGATGGCAAAATTTCTGAAAGTGAACGTTTACAGTTCCGAGAAAAATGACTTATCTAACACTTCCTGTTAGAGCAATGATGATTGATGATATTTGCATGGTGACAGCTAGCAAACAAATCGTGTTCATGGGTTCTTATCTTGGTTGGCACGAAGCCTGGTGATCATGAATAAGTCATCTTTCCTCATCGTTCCATTCAACCCAGCTGTAAAATCCTTCTCTTGAAACGATCATTGCGATAGGATGTCCTAGGGTCCTAACTACTAACATTGTTTCAGGGATATCCTAGTGCTTAGATCACTTCAAGAATACCTAGCCTGGAAGGATCAATACCAAGATTTTGGACCAAGGAGAAGTTGGTTTTTACTTTCTACACTCAAGGTTCATCCACTGGTTAAAAAAACATTCTGATTTTCTTTGCAAGATGGATTTTTAATCTAGCTTACCTTCTAGTTGAGCCATTGATATAGTGTGGAAATATTTTCGACATTGTAGAAATGGTGCTTTATGATCTCTTGCTTTACCAACTAAATCAGATTCAAACAGACAAGGATCTAGTGTTCCCTACAAACACAAATATTTGACAATGAATATTCTCAAAATGGGAATATTTTCGCTAAGCCAATCAGTAATAGTATTGACAGCTCACCATCGTAATTTGAGCCTTCAATTCCATTTGTGTCCAGAATTATCCACATTTGAAAGTTTAAATGACTTGTCAATTTAAGATACTCTGTGATATATAAAAAAAGACATATATAGAAATGAGTGAAATTCCTAGTTTGAAGTATTTTTAAAGGAATTATGCGATTTTCATACATTTCTAGTACTTCTGAAGACTATTAACATATATTCAAAACTAAAATCAACCCCTCCAAAATGCTGCATCTGCCCCTTTAACAAGGGTATTAATAGACACATAGTAGACACAAGAATTATATACAGAGGACAGTTCACATAAAGAGATGATGGTTTACAGATGGAGAAAGTAGTTAGTAGCAATGCCAGTGGGTATACAGGGGGGACTTTTGTTTATGGGAGGATATTACTGTAAATCAACAGAAATATTATACCCCAAACGAGAAAAGTTTCTGATATTGACAGACTTAAATTTTTTACTAAGAACTTTTTCCATCCTACTTCTTAGCTTTCAGTTAGTGTGATTGCCGAAATTTTCTATTTTTACTTATTATTATGCTATGAAGTTGATAGATATTTTTCTTGTATACTTTTCTTGAAATATATTTTCATTGTATATTTTCACGAATAACCACACTGAATTGATAATGAGGTGATGTATGCCTTAAGAGTCCTGCCAAGTCAAAATGTTGAAAACAAAAGTCAACTTGGGAACTAAATCTAAACCAATTTAATCAATGATAAATGCATTGTAATATATATTATCAAATATAACAATAATTACTTTGTAAATGGATGTTTACTTTATCTAGAACCATTGATTCTAATAAAACAATGGAAGCAACTAAATACCGCCATGTAATCATGCTAATGGTTTTAAAATCTTTGTTTGTGGAACTCTTCAATAGTAATGGAAGTATTAAATCATGACATTATCATTTAAAACTTCCTGAAAGAATTTTAACATCAGCAAGTGATGAAAACCTAAGCTTTCTGAGTGATTTACTTGAATTGCAGGAGCACTGTTTTGGATTTCTATTCTGTCACAGATAGCTGAAATTGGCTCTCATAGATTGAATATTGATTTAAAGATGGGTTCCCTTATTTTCATTTATGAAGATAATACTTATATGAATAGAAAATAGAGGTGTTCTAATAACTTGGAAATATACCAGTTTGTCTCACATGTCCATAATTAATTCTAAATTAGAAGAGAATTACCAGCAGAATTCCAATGAGTGACCAAACAAGAAAGGTCAAAAAGTCTTTTCTTTTTTTTTTCATCCAGACTGTACATACATGGACATTTATGATTGGTTAAAACTCTTATTTATATACAATAAGAACATAATGATATGATTAAGAATACATGATAATTCATCAGAAACACCAATTAATCAAAAAGTTTGCTTAATTTGACACTAAAAAATGTAAGGAAACCAATCTTTAAGTACCAAAATGGGGTCATCAGTGACAAAAATAATCAGCCAGGTCAGGGGGGTATTAAGGGAATGGGCCTCAGGTCTGTGGAAGATCTTATTTTGTAGTGAAAATTAAGCCCTGTCAATGCTCAAAATTCATCTCATGCCTCTGAAACCTGTTGGAAGCTGGGGACTGCCTGGCTTCAGAAACACACCTCTCATTTTAGGCTTTCCCTCTGGTATTTTCTAGATACACTCCTGAATGTTGAAGATGGTTGTGTATTTGTAATATATGCAGTCTTATTCAAGTGAAGATTTGAAATCTATGAAATCATGATGCTAATTGACTTGTGTTAATGTACATGAGTAAACAAACATTATATAGCTATTATAAATGGAACAATAACAACTGGTATAATGGAAGCTAGGTATTAGAGGGTGAAAGCCAACTGACTCTCGGAAGCACAGGCACAGGCATCAGAATTTTTCTTACATTGAGGAGGATTTGAACCCATGGCACCTAATAGTCTAGCAGACGACAATCTAACTCACTACAGACTGAGCTATTCCACTGCCACAAGGGTTAGGCTGGGAGGAGTGAGGGGGTTTTATAGGATTTCAAACAAACCCCTTAACCCAATGAGGTCATGTAATTCCACTAAAATTAATCTGTAATATTGGGCATTTTGAAATGAATTTCACTGGCACAGTTCCACAAATTTTGGAAACAAACGCCATCCTTTCAATATATTAACCCTTTGAACCCTGAGTGTAAATGAAATAAAACGTCATATACCCTGAACTCCAAGTTATATAAGTTATAAATGTATGAGGTTAATGATATGTGACATCATTTGGAAACAGCCAGGGTTCAGCTATAATATTGTGTAATCAGCTAAGGTATAAAGTGCTAATGTCATTTTGATATAGTATTCATATTAAAAATTGTCCATTCCAATATCAAAATCAAGCAATGATCCTAGTTCCCGGACTCTACCTTGGTAGTCTACTGTTAACTTATTACTAAGTAAACATTACTTAACAGTATAATGATTCTCTGTAAATAATTTTATTACTTTTAGTTTGTACATCAAGATTAGAACCAATTTATCACTTTAGAATACGTGTTTTGATAAATTAACTGGAAAATCGGTTTTGATATCTCCATAGAAATTCAGTAATATTGCACAAGAGTGAACCAATGCAACTTCAACACAGATAAAACAGAATTTCAATGTACCAGAAATTTAGTGTAGATATTCTTCAAAAGAAATGCGATGTTGTCATTTCTGCACCTAGACATTTCTGTACTAGAAGTTTCTGGTTAAGACATTTCTATAACAGGAATTAAAGAAAGGAAATCAGCTTAGGCATTTCTTTAACAGAACTTCAATGTACCAAAAATTTTTGTGATAGAAATTCGGCGCAGACATTTCTGAACATGGACATTTCTGTACCAGAAGTTTGCCGTACAAGATGTTTTGTGTAGATATTCTATACCAGAAATTCAGTGACTATATTTTTTCTATACCATAAAGTTCAGTGTTGACATTTCTTAACCAAGACCATTCTATAACAGAATACAGAGTTAATGTTTCTGTACCAGAAGTTCAGTGTTGACATTTCTGTATCAAAAGTTCAGTGTAGACATTTCTGTATCAGAAGCTCTGTGTAAACATTTCTGTATCAGAATTTCAATGAATAGATTTATGTAACAGAAGTGTAGATAACACAGTATCATTAAAAAACAACAAAAGTTCAGCAAAGATATGTCTATAACAAAAGTTCAGTGAAGAAATTTCTTTAACAGAAGTTCAGTGAAGATATTTCTTTAACAGGAATTCAATGAAAACATTTCTACAATAGAATTTCAGTAAAGATATTACCATAACAGAAGTTCAGTGAAGATATTTCTATAACAGAAGTACAGAGTAAACATTTCTATAACAGAAGTACAGTGTAACCATTTCTATAGCATAGGTTCAGTGGAGATATGTCTATATCAGAAGTTCAGTGAAGCTATTTCTATAACAGAAGTACAGTGTAAACATATCTAATATGTAACAGAAGAAATGACAATATTTCTAAAACAGAAGTTCAGAGAAGACATTTCTATAATAGAGGTTCAGTTTATACATTTATGGACCTTGACATATCTATTACAGAACTCAATGTAATTTTTTCTGTAACAGAAGTTCAGTGAAGACATTTTTAAAACAGAATATCAGTGAAGACATTTCTATAACAGAAATTCAGTGTAGATATTTTGTGTTCAAGGCATTTTTTACTCAATTTCAATGACGATATTTATGTACCCTTGATTTTGTGTAGACATTTCTATAACAGAAGTTGAAACAAGACATTTCTGTACAAAAAAATTCAGTATAGATATTTCTGTACCTGAATATATTTGTTCTCAGTCCAGTCAAAATGGAATTGATCAATATTGCATTTTTACTAAAGGCATTCTCCATTTTGAGCCTGACTCTAACAAATGCAGAAAACATCACAGATTTAATGAATTTGGATAAGCACCTTATGCAACAGAATCCAAAGAAATTGCGACCCATTGTAAACCAAAGTGAACCAGTGACTGTGAATATAAATGTCTATATATTTGCCTTATTACAGGTCAATCACATACGGCAAACATTGGAAATAAGTTTTGTATATAACATAACTTGGAAAGACGAGCTCCTAACATGGAATCCAGAAGATTATGGTGGAATCAACGCCTTCGTGCCAGAAACCGCATCAATTTGGATGCCATTCTTATCCTGTTATAATTGTTTGGAAATGAATATATTCAAAGATGAACAATCTCCAGTAACAATCTACCAGGATGGTGTAGTCGTTTGGCAACCAAGGAAAAAATTTGAAGTCTTTTGTAATATCAAAGTTAGATACTTCCCATTTGATGAACAGATCTGTAAGATTCAGTTTTTTCCCATGAAACATTTCTATTTTGAAGTTCTGTTGAAAGAAGCGTCCAATTCAGTCCAAAAAGTTTTTTACATAGAGAATGGTGAATGGGAAATGAAAAATAACAAAGTCAATTCTTATTTTCACACGATTTCAAAATCTTCAATATTGGAGGTTACTTTAAACATGGAAAGACGTCCTTTATATTTTCTTTTAAATATTATCAGTCCAATCGTATTACTGTCGTTCTTGAATCTCTTCACGTTTTGCCTGCCAGATGACTCGGGTGAGAAAATCCTGTTTTCGTTGACGATGCTATTATCTCAAACTGTGTTCCTGGGTACCATCAGCAGTTCCCTACCAGCCACCTCCATTGAAATAGTCTACATCACATACTACATAACATGTCTCCTTGGTAGCAGCTGTCTTATAACTATTGCTTCTATTACTCTGTTATACTTCAACCACAAGCGCAAGAAACGGCAATTGAAGAAGGAGAATAAAGATTTAGAGGATCAACAGGCCCTAGAAACATCACCTAATGCACAAGCAGCATCACCCAATGCCAAAGCAGCATCACCTAATACCCAAGAAGCATCAATTACTGCCAAAGGACTTAACAGAATCTTCTTACAACCAACTGAAGATCAAGCGTCAAAAGGGAATGGAAAAGCAGAAGAATCATCAAGTTGCCCAGATGTTGTCAACAATGCTTGTGTACTGAAATCAACCAAAGTCAAATCTGTCAAGAAGAAATGTTGTAACTGTACAATGGATATGTTCATATTTTGTTTGGCATTTATTATCTGGGCAGGTCTTACAATGATTTTCTTTCTAAAAATTATCTTTAAGGATACAGGATATGGTCAAGTCATAGGTGACATTAAGATTAACTGAGTTTTGGTTTTGATCAAGGTTACTTATTCATTAATTTTTATTATGTAAGATAATTTGTTTTCTTTTTGATTCATTTAAAGGCATTATGCACTTTGACTTTATTAGTTAGTTTAAGTGTTGCCCTCTTGACATTATTGTTTATAATCTTGGTTTGAGTGTGAAGGTCTGGTGATCTTAAACCAATTTTATTATGATTCCACGGCATTCCTAACAAGAGACACAACTGGCGCTTCTAAATGTGTATTTTTGTAGATGTATTGTACTTTGAAAGGAACTGGTATACAAAGAATTAATGTGTGATATGCTTATGTCTTGCATGTGCTTAATAAATGTATATAATAATGTTCATTTTTGGGGTTTTTATGTAAACCAGTAATATCAGGACTCAACTGAACAAGTTGTGTATGGCTTTTCACTTTCCAATTTCTGATTTCAAACTGATTCAATACTCAAAACTTGTTTTAACATTGTGATTTGTCTGATCAATTGCCCAACAGACAACACAAAGCTTCTGACAAATCCAAGGGATTCCAAGGGAGAGTAGTCTTAGAAATGAAATGAAATGAATGGAGTTTTACGTCCTACTTTTCTGCACATGTGGGCTAATGAAGACGGCCAACGCCATGCAGGGTGCAATGAGGGAAATTTTGCCAGGACAGCGGCATTAGTCTGCACTTTTCCAATTTCCAACTGTCGAGGGATCTTTAACGTGCACAGCCTGTAGCACACGGGGCCTCGGTTTATTGTCCCATCTGAACGACTAGACACTTTTTCCATGTCAGCCCCTCGTATCACTGACGGGGAAACCGGGTTGAAAAATCCGAAGTATTATCTCGACCTATGCCGGGATTGAACCTTGGACCTTTTGGTTAGCGAGTAAGCGTCTAACTCACTGAGCCACCGCGGCTCCCGGAGAGTAGTTTTAGAGTCTTTATTTTCAGTATCTAATTAGATGAAATCATCATCATATAATCTTTAAAAAGGGAAATGTTACTGTGACTATATTTCCCTTCTTCCAACTGCAGAGCTTGTAGCCTGCAGATACCCTGGATCAGACTCAGGACCCCTAGTATTTTGGAATTAAAAGCCTAGAGAACTCATTTCTAACAAAGTTCATCTGCCAAAAACATATCAAAGTCAAAATCTCTGCCGAACTGAAGAGGGTCTTGCTGGGGCTTAATTCTCACTTGTGGACCCCACCCTAACGATGGGGCTGAGGACACACAGTGCGCATGCAAATCAACCTGATAAGTTGCTGAACTTCCCAGCTCATAGCTTACAAAGATTTTTATATGGTGCTGGTTTAGAACCAGAAAAATATTGACAGAGTACAGCAGATTTCAAAGCATCAAAGCTATTTCCAATATGTCAAATTTCAACACAATAAAATTGTTGAAGTGTTACCATAGGGACTATCTAACATTAGAGGGATATTCAATGCAGGATTGTGTTCTAATAGAATATCAAAACAAACGATAGCTTGCAAGGCAAGATAATATATGCCCACAGGCAGCTTTGATTTTGAATATAAATATTTAGCAATACAGTAACAATCACAAGAATAAACATAGGCTTGCAGCAAGTCTCGCAAGCGAATATGCCCACCAGCAGCTTGATAAAGAGCTAAATATGAACTGTAAAACAAACTCTTTATCATAGTTTGATGCAATATCACATTTAGCTTGTACTTTCATATCTCTCTATTGAAACTCCCTGGTTCTACATTAGGAGGCAGACAACAAGTTTGCTATCTAGAAGCTAAAACCAACTTTAGCATTGTTAAATCTAACATAAATTTTACTTGGTTTATTGTGTTGATCCTTTTCAATAAATGTAACAGAAAAATTATCGGATCCTCACCAAATTCTATAGTGCACATCTTCATAATGACATTGACACACATACAAAAGATTAAAAGATTCCATTGAGAATTGTAGTCTGTAGAGTGAGCACAGACCAAAAAAGTAAAAAAAAAACGAACGCTATATCAGAGTTTTATGCGATATCTCTCAAGAAAATCATCTGATCATCACCAAATTCAATAGTGCACATCTTCATAATGATATACATACAAAAGATCAAAAGAATCCATGGAGAATTGTAGCCTGTAGAGTGAGCACAAGGTAAATGTGAACGGACCGACGGACCGATAGGGGCAAGTACAATATACGCTCATACTTAAGTGTGGGCGTATAAAAATCATATACTTCTTTTGAACTTTTTGGGGTAATACTGAAAATGTCAAAATCAAGCAACAATCTAGTCTTTTAGTGTCTACGAGCTAAAAATTTAACTGTACTCAAGAACTAGGGCAATAACCCATGCTAAATATTTTTCGATTCTTCTGATTTTCAATAGGGTTCATCCTTGGGTGATTACGAACACTCACACCAAGTTTCATCAAAATCCATTTAGAATAGTGTCTTCTAGAGTGTTTATGAGCAATTGTGGACGGAAGGACATTTCATATGGGCTTATAAAAAATAATAATTACCTCTTTTGATATACAATCAGGACAAGGCACTAAGAAATCATAGACCACACCATGAAAGGATTCCTCTATCAATCCCTCAATAATTTCATGAACCAGAAATATAATATTGGCTGGTCTCGGTCCACAAACTTCAATTTCTAACTCATTTTCACTGGAATATCAATTCATTATTTGCAAAAGCAGTTTGGTCAAGTTCAATGAATGAGTTTGATTTGTATCTGTGATGGTCAGATTGGTTTGTCTATTGGGCATTCCATTTGGGGAGGTCACATAGCTAAATCAAATTTGTAATTCAACAACATACAAATTTTAGTTAATAGGATAATGACATCAAACAATTTCAGAAAAGAAAAGAAAATGAAAAAGAAAAGAAAGGAAAAGGGAAAATAAAAAGGAAAAAAAATAAACGAAACGAAATGAAACAAAATGAAACGAAACGAAACAAAATGAAATGAATGGAGGTTTACTCCCTACTTTTGTAGGCTAATGAAGACTGAGTGAACAAGAAGAAAAAGACAAAACATAGGCATTAGCAAACACTTTTTCATCTCCTGTAGAGGAATGCACTAAACACAACCCATGACTAGAGGATTTTTCCATATCTACAGACAATGGAAGCCCAGCATAAATGAATCTCTTACTTGATTTGTCGTATAAGAGCCATATGGTCATTCTTCTTCAGCATAGATCCTCTTTTCCATATAGTTTTACCATTAGAGAACTGGAAGAGCCTTACCTAAAGTAACCAAATATACAAGATCATCACACCTCTCTAATACAGTGGTGTGGCACCATGCAGGGTATGCTTACTCTTCTAGACACCTGATACCACTTTTCATTATGAAATACTTACTCATGTGAAAAGTTCATTAGCTGCTACCAATGTTTCGTTAAAATGTTGTTTGGATTTCGGGTTTAGTTTTGCAGTTCGGATCATTAGTACTTGGTTTATTTATTATTCATACATTTACCTTGCTAGCAAGACAGGACCATGAATTCATGTCTAATTGCTGCAAGTTTTGTATAAAGCTATGTTTGCATAGAAGTCTAGTTTGATTTGGAATAAAATAAGTAGTTATCTGTGCTATACAAACCATACTTAAATAACCTTTACAATGACTTTAAATTAGTGTTGGGCATTACGGTAACTTTCGTTTTCTGTATCATGTGACTCGGTGACCTTTGAACTTAAAACTCAGTTTTAAATGGCCAATGCTAGATCAGTTTCATAAAAAAAAACTTTGATGGAACCGGAGACATGATATAAATGGTGTAGGGAGAAAATGATGGTATGACTGAACTACAAAAATATTCATCTTCCAAATATATCTTGGCTAATGCAGTTCCGAGGTATCTAAATAGGTTTAAAACCCCCGCACCTGCAAAGATGCGGAAAATCCCCATTTAACAGGGTCTTTTTTTCTGTGTTTAAGTATCTTAGCTAGACTATACCTGACATCTGTTAAATAAACCAGCAGGTAAATAACTGAATCTATAAACCATTTTAGATTGTTGTCTCCCTTTCTTCTTTAACTCTTCAGCACTGGGCCATAATGTCTGAAATATTTGCAACACAAGTATATTCACTTACATGTACTCTTATCAATGAAATGAGAAAGAGTTCTACATCCTACTATTTTTTGTCTAATGACGACAGATACAAAACTACATGGAAATAACACATGAATGTAGTTCTCAGCCATTTTGAATCACTACCTTGACTTTAAGTTGAATTTTATATAATATTTCAACTGAAGTCGAAGTTTTGATTTAAAATAGTTGTGCACTATGATCGATCATGTGTGTTATTTCCATGTAAGAAGAAGCGTATGTAGTTTTGTATGCTGATCACAATAGATAATGATGTGTAGCACTCATTGAGGACAATTTGCTAGGACAATCATATGAACATTCATTTTTCTTGTTGATCTTGTTTGTTCACAGTTCACAGTTCATGTTTCTTGCCATCACAGACATTCTCAATGGAAAGCAATAGATAAATTCAAGTAAAAAATGATGAAAGCTACCTTATATACTTCATATATACTTTTTATATAATTCAAAAAACAATTTTTGATCA